TTCTTTGTTCCTACTGTTTTATTTCACATGATTGAGAGCCAAAATGGTGATATCTAGATATTTTCTTTCCTACTGATAATTTTGATTTCTCAATCTTTGGTTCTTCTTGCATAATGCCAAACTTGCTTTGTGCATAATGGTCTTGCATAATCAAATAAGGAGTATAAACATCTGCATTGGCCTAATGCACTTACCCTTGTGTTTTCTTATCCACATGATTTTTTCATTTGCAACCAAACCTGCTGAACATTTGTTAAAACTGCTCTGTCCAAAACCAATGTTCATCAGGTTTGGTTATTGAACCAATACTTCAACAGGTTTGAGAACACAGGTTTGAGAACATGTCAAAATAAAATACACAGGCTGTGACCAAGTGACTGTCAATTAAACTGTTTTGTCCTGCTGTGAGTAACTTGAACCTTACTTGATGAGGCATCACATGTTGTGTCTATATAACCATTCATTGGAAGTTTTTAAGCTAGAAAGTAAGTTCCTGCAGATATATGAGAATATTTTGATACACCAAAGTATTAACCTCACCAATCCGACTAACCCAACTCAATCCAATCCACACGGTTTTGGGTTGAGTTGAAAATTTTCAAACCAGAAACATTAGACATTAGATTGGGTTAGGTTGTTTAAATATCTTCAACCCAATCAACCCAACCCATAAAATACATGTATCCAATTCATAAAGCTATTTATATAAAACAAAAAACTAAAGGTAATGTGTTATGAAATTGCTATATAAACTATTAATAATAAAATAATAATAAATTGATTATGAAATAAATTTAATGCTTTTCCTACTATTTTCGTTACTATAAAGACAAATTGATTAATATTATGGTTTTACATATGCTCTATTTTACACGATATTCTTTTAAAAATTTCATTCAATGAATAAAATGAATTTTATTAATACTTTTTCCTTAAAAATGATTTATATAAAAATACCAATTAAATATTGTTTTTTAATTACTTTCTTTAAATACTATAATGGTAAAAAATTCACACCGAAGATGCCGACTTTTTCATACAGCAAAATGAATTCAAAATTTTGTAGAACGTTTATCAAACAATTATTCGGTAAGTGTTTATCGGTAAAATTCAATACTATTACTTTCTTATCCGGTAAACTTTAGTCCACTAAAACGGCATTGGATACAACAATTTACCCGATAAGTGCTAACCGTGGTAAGAGTCGTCGTTCACTTACCAGATAAGACTCTCGCTTCTTGCCTCGATCTTACCAGGTAAGATTTTTGGTCTTTGTCATATTCATCCGGTAAAGTAATGTCACTTAGTAAACACTTACCCTAGTAAGCATTTGATAAACGACCCCTTAGTTTCTTGTTCCGTTTCGGTCTCTGTATCTTATAGTGGTCTTATCTTGTATTTTCTTGACTCTTTACCTTCTTAATAAATTTTGATGTCTTTAAAAAAGATAAAAACATGTATAAAAGATTAATAAATAATTTATATTATCTGAAAACCTGCTTACGCTACAACTTTGAAAAATGGGTATTTAAAACTACAGGTGTTGATTTGGGTGAGATTTCAAAATTTGATCTGTTCATTTAAGAAGAATAATATATGAGATCCTAGAAACCCTTCAAATTTCTATTTTTATTGTCTAAAAAAGAGCAAAATACGAACACTATAAAAATTGAAAGATTTTATATATATGCATTATCGATTTATACTTAATATAACAGTTATATATTTTTTAAAACCCAAATAACTAAAACCATACTTTTTGTAATTATTTTTGGGTATATATTGACCGTTTTCAAAAGATGAAGACGCGTCGGGTACAAGTTTAGGAGTTGTTTATCGGTCCTATAAAAACCATATTTTTTGTAATTATTTTTAGATGTATATTATATTATATTAATTACATGGTGCCACCGTTTGAAAAAATTTCTGGGTTCGTCCCTGTTTGTGATACACATACTAAATTTGTGCATCCTTGTGGTGCTTTGCCTGGTATTATTGTTGTCTTGTACATAACATGCTTTAATAATTCACACAATAAATCATTTATGAAAAGTACTAAATCCTATATGAATATACTCAATGATATACTATTGCATGCATCTCAATATCAAAGTCACACTGAATGAAACTCAATCTGTATAGGCGTATCAAGTTCCACTTATGCTGATACATGCAAAAATCGTATAAGTTTTCTAATAACTTGGTCACTAAAAATGTATACTAAATTAATTTGGTCATTATCACACCCAAGAGGGGGTATGTAACTTGCCATACGACTTGAAGTCACCTTGTCAACTAGGATTCAACTGTGCGAGTTGCTTAATTCACTGGACTTGACTCGCGTTGACAAATCAACATGATTTGGTCATGTGTGTTCTACTTGTGTCACTTGGTTGCTATGACATGGCCTACGAGTTCTATCTTGTAACCTTCTACTTTGTCATCACGCCTTGCACTTGATGACTTCAGGTCATGCCACTAAGTCACCCCACGACTTTAGATTGTATGCCACTTCATCCTCACTACTTGAGCCACGTGACTTCAAGACGCATGTTTCAAGTTTTCTGAGGCATACAAATAGTTTATTGGTTTGACTTGCATGCCAATTCCCCCTTTTTGTCATTTGTTTCTAAACTTTTTTTTCCTTTTTGCATTGTGATACTAGTAACATGCATCCCAATATAACAATACACTGAAACGTAAATTTAACTAACAACTCATGCCTTAATTTGGGATTATCATACTAATCACTTCAAAAACACTAACAACTCAAGTTTTACTCCACAGCGTTAAGTTCTCTAATTTAGCCCCTTTTCCAAAAATAAAAGTCATCTAATTTAGCTCCATTTTCATACTAAAACGTTTATGGATACATTATTCTACTGACTAGGCACTTAACCAAGACTTATGTGCTCAAAACATACCACAAATTCACTAATTCGATTTTGAAATCATTATATTGCTTTTGCTACTTCTTTGATTCACAATCTCGACTTTCATCTTAGATTCCTTCCTAAACTTGTCTGACAACTAGTTTGATGTCAAATACCAAAGGAACTTTGCCATCCGTGGTACTTCTTAAGCACATATTATCCTTAAACCACTGCCACATGTTCTTCCCGGCTTTACAAACATGTTCAGCTGATTTGTGATTTATTTTAAATAAGCTCTTTGACTATAATTTTCAGCATCTTATCTTGACTTTTGACTCTGAAACTCCATTTGATTTAACTTTAAGGTAGGGGTGTTCGCAGTCTGTTTTGGGCGGTTTAACCCCTCAGACCAAAAACCAAATCGTAATGGCGGTTTATAAAATATTTAAACCGAACGGTTTGACATTAAGTGCCCAGACCGGTCAAACCAGACTATGAAAAGACGGTCTGGTCTGACCGGTTTAGGCGGTTTGGGCCTTGAATGAACTTTAAATATTAAACTTAAAAAACATATAAAATTTATAATTTTAGATTAAATATCCATTTTAACAAAACAAAATATCCAAACAAATAAATGTAATAATTAAGCAGCTCTTGAGTTCAAAATCCAAGCAATCCAAAGTCCAGACAAACAAATAAATATATAATACATATTAGAAAACAAACAAATTAACAAAGTTACAACTCTACTGTGAGTATTGAGTAACAAAATCCACGACTTCACAATATTTAATTCTTGACCAAACAAAATAAAAGACAAATCTTAGTTGGTTGAATCACTTGGTTCATGTCTTGATGATGTGCTCGAAATCAAACCATGGATTAGGAAAGATCGATAGATTGATAGAGTTCTTGAGGGATTTTAAAATTTGGAGATCGTCAATGTCAAATGTGTAGATATGTTTACTGGTTTAGGGATTTTTAAGCAACGATTCATTTGGATTTGATTATGTTAGATGTTAGGCTTAGGGATATATTTGGGTTATAGACCATAAGTTAAAAAGTTGAGCTTAGTAATACTAAAATAAATAAATAAATATGTATTTAGCGGTTGGTTTGGTCCAAACTGCCCAAAAAAAGGTTCCAGACCGGACCATACCGCCCGATTTTGCTATTTTCCAAACCAGAACAAACCGCTCAAACCGTCAAAAACGGTCCGATTTGAACGGTCCAACGGCTTTTTTAAACATCCTACTTTAAGGTGTTATGATTATATTATCAAATATGACTTAAAAAAATATAATTCAATAGCTCATCAATTCACCAACAATTTGTTTATTGCCTATTGACATTTAATTTAAATGAGCATACAGATACAACGCCAATAGGGGTGAGTTTTGTTATAAATATGAATGAGAATTAATTTCGTCAATCATTAACGTTGTGTTCAGTTTCGGTAAGAAAGAAAATAAAAGAAAAAAAGGGAAGGAAAAGAAAAGAAAAGAAAGAAAGAAAAACAAAAGCATTTTTTTTATTTGTGTTATTAAAAGTGAGAGAAAATGAAGGAACAAAGAGTTAATTTTTATGGTAGATAAGGGAAATAAAAAAATATGTTATTTTTATAAAAATATCCTTATTTATTTTATGGTGGAATGTAATTAAAGGTTAGATTCCGGTGAAATACATAAGAGTTAAGGTGAAATACATAAAAAGAGAACTCCATAATTAGATGCACTTAAGAATGAGATGCATCAAGATACACCAGAGCAAACCCTATATCAAACGTCATTTATGAGTGTATCTGAGATTAAAAATGTTCATGAATACAGATCCATTCTTACGTTTCTCATTTTTAACTCTACTTCTCACATATTAATTCACCAAATAATTAATCGACATAATATTTTACTTTCTTTTTTCTTTCAAAAACACAAGATTTTTTCCCCTTCGTTTCCATTCCGTTGCCTCCATTTAAATCTACAAAAAACCCTTGATAAGTAAGACTAACGCCATCTTTAATATTAATCCTAACATCACATGCAGCCCCTCCCTTTTTCCCCTCCTTTCTTTCCACCTCATCCATTTGCCGATTCCTTCTAATCTCTGCGTGCTGTTCATAACTCATTACAGACATTTGTACCCTTTCTTAATCAAGAAACCCTTTCTGTAAAATCCCTTCTCTTCTTCGCTACCACAAAATAATCCCCCCTTTTCCCTTTTCCCGATCCCTATTCCTTGTGTTTTCAAAGTGAAGCCACCCATGATTTGATCGTAACCCAATTTTGGTGTAAGAAATTCGTAGCGATTTGCGAGAAGCTTGTGTAATGTCGAGGCAGAGTAATCGGGTTGTGGACGGTTTGATCCCGGGTTACGGCAAGATCCGGAAACGAGGCTGTTCTTCATCACCATCATCATCGTCTAAGTTGCATAATTACCGATTTAAACGCGCAATTATGGTGGGGAAGACGCGGGTCGGAGGTGGTTCCAGATCCAGCACGCCGGCGCCGTCGTGGAGGATGACGCCGTCGTCTAAATCTAAGCTTGGTGGTGTGGAATCGCCTAATTACGATGGCGGCGGAGGGAGGTCGAGGCCTGTTTCAGCCAGGAAGCTGGCGGCAACACTGTGGGAGATGAACGAGATGCCGTCACCGCAGAATTTGGAGACGAGGAGGAGGAGGAGGGAGAAGGAGACGACGAGGGCTAGAGAGAAAACGAACCGGCCGGTTCATACACCTGGTTCCCTTCCTCCCCATTTGTCTGATCCGTCTCATAGCCCTGTTTCTGAGGTGGGTTTTATCTTAAAATATGAACTCGAACCTAAATTCACAGTAAAACTTGAGTTCCATCATCTGGGTAGAATTTTTTTTAGCTTCATTCCATTTTGATTATGGGCTTATGAAACCTGATCACTCTTGGCTCAAACATTTACGATTTTGTGGAACCATCATTTTCAGAACAATCTTATAGTGATTGAAAATGATCCAGATTAAACCCACACTTATACTTGTATTTTATTATTATTATTGCTATTTATTTCTAGTCATTGTCAATTCAATAAGAAATCTACTATAATAGATGCCAATGAAATTGTAAGTTATGGGTCATTTTCAGCTCTACTTGAAGAGATAGAATGACATCAACTACTAATTAAGAACAAGAAAGCCCTTTTGCTGTTGGTGAAATTATGATGCTTCATCATCAGAACATTGAGCATTAAGCCATTTGAATGCTATTGATTTGAATTTATATGTAGACGGGATTCTTTTTTAATTCTTTGGTTGTTTCATATCATATGTTTTTGCCATGGTTTTCTAGCGGATGGATCGATCTGGAACAGGATCTCACCATCGGATTTCGTCCTCTCAGAGGGCCAGGCTTGAGGACAACAATGGTGAAGTTTTCGATTCTCTTAGCAATTCTAGTTTAATGGAGGTTAGCATCTTTATCAACAACTCATCATCTTGCCTTCATTTATAGCTCAAAACTTCAATTTCACTATCTATATCTATATACACAAGTCTTGTTGGTTTCTTGGATAATATGGAAGCTAATGATCAAGATGTCAAATATGTATCTATTTGTGTACTTTTATACCACAGATTGAGATCAGATCTCGAGCTCAGACTCCTAGCGGTTCAACGGTTGGTGTCAAGCCGCGTTTGAAAGATGTTAGTAATGCGCTGACAACATCCAAAGAGCTACTAAAGATTATTCACAGGATGTGGGCTCATGATAATCTTCCTTCATCAAGCATGTCGCTTATCTCGGCCCTGCATACTGAGCTAGAAAGGGCCCGTCTTCAGGTCAATCAGGTCATCAAAGACCAACGCGTTGACCATACCGAGGTCAATTACCTACTCAAATGCTTTGCCGAAGAGAAAGCATTGTGGAAAACTAAGGAAAGGCGGGCAATTGAGGCTGCCATCGAGTCCATTGCTGGTGAACTGGAGGTCGAAAGAAAATTAAGACGCAGATCTGAGAGCTTAAACAAAAAACTGGGGCAAGAATTAGCAGAAACAAAGGCTTCTTTCACGAAAGCATTGAAAGAACTTGAAAGTGAGAAAAGGGCAAGGGAGATTATGGAGCAAGTTTGTGATGAATTAGCTGTTGATATTGGTGAAGATAGGGCTGAAGCAGAAGAACTGAAGAGGGAATCGGTTAAAGTTCATGAAGAAGTTGAAAAGGAACGAGAAATGCTTCAGCTTGCTGATAAGTTACGGGAAGAGAGAGTTCAGATGAAATTAGCCGAAGCTAAGCATCAATTTGAAGAGAAAAACGCTCTTGTTGACAAGCTCAGGAGTCAACTCGAAGCATTTCTTGGAAACAAAGGAGGTGGTAAGAAGAAGGGACGGAAAGATGAAGATCTGATGACGTATATGAATCGAACCAATATTGGTGGGACGCGTAAGAACAAAGAATACGATGATGGAGAAGTTGAGAATGGTGTGGATTGTGAAGAAGAAGAATCAGGAGGAGAAAGTGATCTTCATTCGATAGAACTAAACATGGACAACAATAACAAGAGTTTCAAGTGGAATCATGCTCATAACTCTCATAAAGATTCTCATAAAGATTCGGTTGATGATGAACTAAAATGGAGGAATTTAGTCAATGGGAAAGCATCAAGAAGAAGCACATCTTCAATTCAGAGAAACATTTCAGATGGAAATGAATGGGGGATTCAAGAGAACTTTGTTGAACTTGAGAAGCAAACTCCAAGAAGAAGCCATGGGGATGAGTTACAGAGATATAAGTCGGTCAAAGGCCTCAGGGATCGGATCTTGACCAATTTGAAGCCACAGATGTCAAGAGATTTTGACAGTGTCAATCATGGGAGTGGATCAAAGTCAAGAACAGGAGAAACTAGAAGTGAAACCCTCAATGGTCGACGATCTAAAAAGTGATTTCAACTTCGATCCTCCTTTGTAGGTCAACTGTTAATGTTTTCAACCACCATTGATGATTGTTATTGCAGAACTGGGAGCTCTGAAACTGAATTCAAGAAGATCAATGAGGTAAGTAAGAAGTTAACTTGTTTTGGATTCATGGTGTTGCAAATTTGCATGCTGCCAGTTCTTTTGAACTGCTAGACTTTGCATAAGTTGCTTGACATTCACAGAAAAACTTGCATGAATTTGTATTTATACAAGTGTTCAAATTTTTGTAGAGCTCTGCCGATCCAAATATGTACAAAAAATTTCCGTTTAACCGTAATTATATCATGTTCTTAAATAATATCAAGAAAATTTTGCTTCTAGTTGTCTGTTTAGGATCAAAATATTTGTCAATTTCATGATTCTTTGATCAAATTAATCTGTTTCTTTGCTGTAAGCTTGTTAGATACAGTAGAATCTTTAGAAATGGTGATGTTGGAAATGCAGTATTAAAGGGTATAAAGAATGTTGGTGAGTCAAAAGAGTGCATATTTCAAGATTTGATCTTTGACCATATTGAAGTTGAATAGAAATGCAATTCTTGATCATGGTGGGGATCAATTCTATGATCTATTATTGTGATCCCTCACACCTAGTTTTAATAATTTAGGCACATGGTGTCACCCATCTGTCTTAGCTTAGTGACTAAAGAATCTAATCAAAGGATTAATACAAATTAAAGTATCATGTTTGTGATTATTATATTGGGGTTTGTGGGTCATCATCATTTAAATGTCAATTATGAGTTGGGTAAAATATAGAAGACTAGGCCTTTTCCTGTGCTAGTTTCTTTTACAAATTTGAGTAGTTTATAAATGTATCTATTTTAAGATAGAGATTTTAGAAATTTAAGAGCTTTTCTTGCTTCAACAGTTATGCTAACGTGTATGTTAAAAAGAGGAAAGAAAAAAAAAGAGAAGGTAGAAATATCTGCTTGAATTTTTATAGAGTTTTTCTGTAAATGTGTATTTAGATGATGAATTTATAAAATATTTTAATAATATAATTAATGCCGAAACTGTTGAAAAATGCTAAAAATACTTTAGTAGATGAACCTATAATCTTGCTTTATGATGATTCTTGCATCAATTCAGGAGCAATGAGGTCTTTGCTAAATGTGACCCTACAATTACACTTTATTTTGAGTTTTTTCTTTTTGGGGATAAAGAAAAGGAGTAAATGTGAAAAACCTTTATTTTGAGTTAGACTCCATCTATATTGAAATCCTCAAATATTTTTGGTTTTTGTAAATTTTTGTTTCTTTCTTAATATAGCGATTATGAATACAACTGCTCTATTCTTTTAAAATAGATGATTGGTTAGAGGCTATTTGACAGTTTCTGAATGGTTAGAGGCTATTTGATAGTTTCTGAATGGTTTGGTGCAGAATGATTAATAGGCTATCATGATATAGTGCAAAATGAAATATAATTGTTTGGTAATTGTTTACAATGAAATTAGGGCGCTTAATGATTAAGGGAAACACATGATACAAATTCATTCAGAGGGTTTTAGAACCACTAAGAGACAAACCTTTTTCTTTTGCCGAACAAGATTCACCTTTTAACGATTCAGAGGCTGCCTCTTATGGAACTATTAAAAGGTAAACAAACAACCCCTAAGTTTAACATTCTACTCCTTGAACCTACTTTCGAGTGAACACTCATTCATCATCAATCGTGGGAGCAAGGGTTTTTTTATGTGTATTGATTCGTCGTTGGTCGATTATATATGGCAACATAACTTTGTTTATGTTATTAACGAGTAATCATAAAGTTAAAGAGTTGTCAATTGTTTGAAGTTTACTTTAAATGGTTTAAAGTTATCTTGTAATTGAAGTATTGGGAGGGCACATGGGTTGTTGTTTCCATATGATATGATTTGGGTGCTAGCGTCCAATTGAGTTGGCTATTCTAATGTCTCCATCAATTGTTACAATTACTATGGAATAAGACATTAAACCAAACTTTTCACTATGATTAGACTAAGGTTTCATTTGGTTTTGGTCCATGTCTTTATTCTTAACCACCAACATCGTACTATGGATAGCTTCTACAAACGTAAGCTCGTTATTTGAAACTTCTATTTTTGTTTTTATTTTAATAAATGTTGAAATTTGATGCATGGAATTCGTATTTTTGATGGGTTTTCACCGACGAAGGAGGTGGTTCGAGGAGTAGTAGACTAGTGGTGGTGGCGACGGCAACGAAAACATGAGTTGCGTTGTGGAATTTGCTGGTAGCGGTTGAAGGTCCAACCAAGATATCCTGAATTGAGGTTTCTACAAAGAATATCTGAACAAATAAACAATTTTTTTCCCGTTAATTATAAAATTTATATTCATTATAAGGTGGGGTTTGGTTTGAATAATATTTTTGGGAATGGTTGTGGAAATTGGAAACCATGAGTTTAAAACTACATATTCAAATCTAAGAATCATCTTTTACTTCATTCTTTCCTTAACTTGTATGTATATATTAATATTATAAAATAAATCAATTTATTATCTCCTATGTAAAAATAGGGTTTGGGGAGGAGATGTATAAATATCTGACTATTATGCCGAACTAGTCGACTTTCGGTGCGATGCAAATGACTTGCACGTGCCTTGGGAAGTTGCTTAGACGAAGTTCGGAAGATGAAGTGCCAACTGATGGCTTGGACTCAACTTGTGAAGTCACCAGGATGTTGCGTAGGTCATGGAATGTGAGTTTCAACTCGCATAGGAGTCTCCTACGCGACTACGCCCAACACAGAAGTAGTGTAAAGCCTTTTATAGGTTGCGATATAGTTAAAATCGATATGCATTTACAATATAAGTGGATATAAATATTCAGTAATTTGCTTAAACACTCGGTACGTATGCCATGTGTGTAGATACCTATATCAAGTGCTTCAAAAACCCTGTACGACCAAATGAGTTTCATGCAACTTATAAACATGACACCTGATTATATACGTTTTTATAGACCCGTTCCTGACATTTTATTGGCGCTAGGAGAGATATAAAAAAGGGGTCCTCGTTAATTACAAGAAAAATCTTTAATACTCCATCCGTCCCAAAATAAGTGTACACTTCTAAAAGTAAATAACCAAAATCTTAAATTTACCCTTTATTAATGCACAAATATTCAAGAGCTGTGAATAGATAGAAATTAAATAAGAGTAAAGATACCATTTGATTAATCAAAAAGTGTAATAATCATGCATGTCTAAAACTGTATGTCATTTCAATTCTGGACACTTATTTTGGGTCGTAGACAATATATAATTTTTATCGTTAGAAATAACATTGAATTCAAAAAAATATTAATAATTCATATAAAACCATTTTAGTAAAGTATTCTTAGACGTAAAATCAATCAATAATTATTTTCAAATTAATATTATCTACCATATCATTTTTATATAACATCGTCAATCCTTTTCACCATAACAAACATCATATCATATACCTTTAATATATAAATTGACATCATCAAAGACCACAATAGTGACTATTTGGAGTAACACTCTGTGATAACCAGATCTTGGTTATTACCCAAGGTAATTTATACGTGAACATTTGACTAAATGATTTTCGTAATAGCATGATAATTTGCTATGTGTGGGTATGTGCATTTATACATTATTTGAATATGAAAAATATGTATATATATATATATATATTGATATATATATATATATATATATATATATATATGTGTGTGTGTGTGTGTGTGTGAGTGCATACATGATATATATGGAATACAATATATATATATATATATATATACTTGGGATCATGTGAGACCAGCCTGTTTTCGTGAGACCCGTGAGACCAACATTTTACACTTGAAACTTCACAGCAAAATGCTGTGAAGGTAACTTTTTAAAACCTTCACAGTGTTTTTGCTGTGAAGGTTCGACTTTTCTTAAACCTTCACAGCGTTTTTGCTATGAAGTTTACGTGTAAAAATGTGGTCTCACGGGTCTCACGAAAACAGGCTGGTCTCACGTGAACCCAACCCCATATATATATATATATATATATATAGATATATATATATATTTATGTGGTTAGAAAGTATGCATGTAGTGTGCATACGTGCATGAATATGCATGTGTGTGCATGTATAAGTTCATGCATGAAGTGGCAAAAGGGAGGGGAAGGCGGTTGGCCGACCTTCCCCATTTGAAGGGTATAAAAGGGGGGTTACCCCTTCATTTGCCTTTTTGCTTGCCATTTTGAGAAATTGAGAGGGAGTTAGAGAAAGAGTTGTCCGGATTACATTACAAGGGTGATTTCAAGTTGATTTCAAGCTATTTTCAAGAGTTGGATTTCAAAAGGTTAATTGCAAGCATTTTGTGTTCAAAAGCATTAAAAGGTGAGTGGTTTCTAACCTTTTTGTATAAAGATTTTACTGGTTATAATTGCACGCTTCGTATTGTTCTTATTTGAAAAGAAAGCATGGTTATTTCATCTAAGTGTTATCCGGACAAAGAGTGACCGAATTAGAGTTTAAACCGGACAAGCGTTAGGCGGTTTAGTGTCCGGATTGTCTTAAACTGGACATGCTTTGAAAGGTTTAGTGACCGGATTGTTTTAAACCGGACAAACCTTGAGCGGTTTGTTGACCGGAGTTGGTAAACCGGTTGAGTGGTGAGCGGTTTAGTCTTAAACCAGACGAGTCTTGAACGGACTGTTGACCAGATTTGTTATCCGCTCAATATGAATTTTATTCTAAGTGTTAAACTGTTCAATGAAGGTGTGATGTGTTGTCCGGACTAGTATCCGGACAAAGTTGAATAATTTGGACAAATATTTGAGATGTGTTGTCCGGATTAGTAAACCGGACAAAAGGAGACAGTGTTGTCCGGACTTCAAATCCGGATAACTTGTCCGAATAGTTTTATATTGAAAATTTTATAAGTTTTTAAATGTTTATTTATTTATGATTCATAAAATGATTATTTTATATCTTTTAAAATAAATGAAATGTTCCTACCAAGCATGGTGACATAAGTCTGTTTTGGTATGGAACGAGTTTTGATAAATGTTCCTACCAAGCGTGGTGCGTAAGTCTGTTTTGGTATTGGAACGGGATTTTGGGAAATGTTCCTAMCAAGCGTGRTGACGTAAGTCTGTTTTGGTATTGGAACGGGATTTTGGGAAATGTTTCTACCAAGCGTGGTGACGTAAGTCTGTTTTGGTACGAAACTATATTTTGAGAAACCTTCCTACCAAGCGTGGTGACGTAAGTCTGTTTTGATATGGAAGTGAGTTTTTAATGGTAGTTCCCCCAGACGTGGTGACTTTTGTCTGTTCTA